AACCCTTTCCCCCGACCTGCCACATGGGCAGTGAGCTCACCGGGCTACAGTGGTGGCCTGTGCCAGAGACCATGGCTGGCACAGCAGCAGAAGCAGTGGGGGGAGTGAACAGGATGGATGCGGTCCACGGGCCACCAGCCAGACAGCCCTGTTCTAAGCTGCTCCTGAGGCAGCTATGCACTATCCCTTGCAAAGAGCTCATAGCAAAGCCAAAACTTAGCCCGAATGAAACCGCCTAAACATGATTTTCATCCAATCCACCACCCCACATAGCACGCACCTTCTACAGAGGAATCTGCGTTGATATAAGCAACTCCTCGTGCTTGTAATATTTTGGCATTCTCCTGTATTAAGAACAAAAAAAGTGATTAAACTTCCCCCTTCAAAATAATGCTGCACATATTTCCTGGAGCCTTACAGCTTTCCACATACAACCCAGCCCCCAAAATACTTTTGGAGAGAAGATTCATGTGGAGCCAAGAGGTTCTCTCTCCAGCTAGTTTACTAGTTGACACATGAATCAATCTTTTTCATGTTTTTCAATTCTTTTCTCCCAACACTTTTCAGCGACCCAGTGAACTTCACCCAAACATGCTAGAACAGAACTGCAGGGTTGTAAAGGACCTCAAAGGTCACCTAGTCCAAGCTCCTGCACAAATACATGATTTGCGTATCCTAAACTATCCCAGACAGAAGCCTATCCAACCGCTTCCTGAGAGCTTCCAGTGAAGAACATCCCAACTTCCCTGCGCTTCTTATGATTAGAAAGCTTTTTTTCCTGAAATGTAATCTATGTCAGTTTTACTGCATTCAAACTCACTGTGCGCATCCAGATGAGTGCAGTTGTGCAGTATGTGGTGCCGCAAACATGTTTGCAGTGCCACATCCCACACAGTCTGGTGTTCTCTGTGCTGCAAAGGCATGCTGCTCCATTTTTTTTTCCGGATTTTTTTTGACCCTTGGATATCCAGGAGTCAAAAAAAATAAAAAGTGGGGAACAAACCCAAACAGAGCAGCACATGCTCAGACAGCCAAAGTACACGTGGGATGGGCATTCCCCAGGGACAAGAAGTGGCAGCACAAGGTCCACTGCTGCTACTTGTCTCCAGGGAACCAAATGTCCCATTGTGTCCTGCTCTTTGTGTAAGACAGAACAGGTCTTCTGCCTCTTATTTATTGCAGCCTGTCCAATATTTTAAAACAATGCCTTAGTCTCCATTTTTCCAAACTAAACACACCTAGTTTTCTTCCCCTTTTCTCATATTGTTTGCATGCTGTCATCTTTGTCATTCACCCCTGAATCCTGTCCAGTTTCTCTAATTATTTAGAAGTGGATCTCAGCTCTGCCCCAGCTCCAGACCACACTGTCACTGCTGCAAGATGCCAGCCCCAGAACAGCTCCCTACCCAACCATTTCTAATTATCAAAACAAAGCATGGCCATCCCAACCAAATGTAGGAGCAAGGCTTTTTATTGTTTTGTTGTGTTATATGGTACAAATATTTATGTTTTGTTAAATGGCTACTACAAATGGCAGCTTATGATTTTTTCCAAGCCAGGAGTGCAGGAATGGCCATGCTGCATCTGACCATTGGTCCACCTAATCCAATATCTTGCCATCAATAGTCAAAAGTTACAACTCCTTCTGGGGAAGCTGCTACCAACCCTAAAGTAGGTATTTTTAACCTAAATGTTCAGTTTGTTTCAGACACTGCTAAACTTTTTGGTGCAAGGGCCTCCTGGGCATTGAGAACCCTAGGATAACTATGTTTTGTGAAAAATTTATCAGTTTTGTTTCATTTAACTCAATTTCATTGAATGTACCCTAGTCTTTGTGATACAGAACAGAGTGAACAGAAGCTCTTGTGTACTCTCCCTAGTTCATCCTTTATTTTGTAACCTTTCATCACTTATAACCACTATCATCCAAGACAGAATATATATATTTTTTTGCAATAAGAGCATCTGTGAATAGTAAAATAATAAGCCAGCCAACACGTCATATGACGGAAACTCAACAAGGATCCCTTTACAAGTGATTAGTACAGGGGTGGACAAAATGGCAGTTCTGGCCAGCTGCTGGACTCCAGTTCCTAGTAGTCCCTGCCCATGTCACTGCAGCTGGTTTCCAGTAGCGGCAGTGGTGTGACAGTGCAGGGCCAGGGCTTCCATGGAGACCAGCCCCAGCAGGGCACATGGGTTGGGTAGGGAGGTGTTCTGAGGCTGGGATCTTGCAGCAGTGACAGTGTGGTCCGGAGCCAGGGCAGTGCTATGATCCAATGCCCACAAGCCCCAGGCACTCCTTTTCCTCCTCCAAGATCCAGGGCACATGGGCAGTGGATTACAGCTCTGCTCCGGCTCTGGACCAGGCTGTCACTGCTGCAAGATCCCAGGGGCAGCCCTGGAGCAACTCCCCATCCAGCCACATGTCCTGCCAGCATTCCTGGGGCCAGTCTCCATGGAAACCCTGGCCCCAGGCTGTCACAGTGTTGCTGCTCCTGTTGCCTCCATGGAAACCGGCCACAGCAACACAAGCAGGGGCTGCTGGGAAAGGACGTTTGCTGCAGACCAGGCTTTGCCCACCCCTGGATTAGTGGGACTTTGTGGAAAGATCTGAATCCATACTGCCTTTAGCTTGACATATTGAATTAAATTAATAAATTGGCATTTCTCTCTCAAGGGTGGTATTGAGACAGGGTACCTTGATACTATATATTAAGACATTTGGATTGGTATGAATTGAGCATTCACTGCCTCAAGGTAGATCAGGAAGTACCTTGGGCAGAAGTGATTTTTTATAGGCCAGCAACCAGTACAAAGGACCTGATTGCTTAAGTAAAGTCCTTGAAGTCACTGGAGCTAGACCAATTTACAAAAGTTACAAGAGGAAAAGCAAGCCTGATATCTCCATTTGGCAGTGTCTCTACTCCCAGGCATATGTTGGTATATCCCCACACTTCTTGTGTTGGGACTAGCCACTGGTTTCTTGGTCAGATAGTCGGGAGCACAAGTGGCTTCTTAAGGTGAAATTCATGTGGCATGTCTGTAGCAAAAGTTAAATTAAATCTAACTTCAATTTAGTTTACTATAATTTAATAATTTTAATTTAATTTATTGTTCCTGGGGGAAGATTATTACTATTTTTAGTATTCAGTAAACAACTCTGGACACATGCATTAGAGTGCCTGAACACTCCTGAGTGGCGCAGGTAGAAGAGCTGTCATTGCGAAGAACTCTCTTAGACATTAACTGACATTAGATTTACCTCAGCCCACTCTGTGGATCCTAGCAAGCCAAATTCTTCTGCATCCCAGCTTGCAAATATCACTGTTCTTCGAGGTCTCCAGCCTACAAAAATATGCGTTGTAAAGCATCATGAGAATTATTCCAGAAATACCCTGCAATGGTGATTCACACTAAAAAAATATAATGAAAAACATGGAACTACATTTTTGGCCTTCAAGAATGATCTGTGGTAAAAAAGGAATACTTAGGAAATCTAATCTTTAATGTTATTATAAGCTTACTTATATTACAGTATTAGGCCCAATATAGAATTCTTTTTTCACTCAGTATCCATAGTGATTGAAATTTAACAAACTTCATCATACTGGCAAATAGGAGAGAGGGCAGTATTAACTTTTTGGGTAGTATTTTTACTGATTTTCCAAAGTGCCCTACTCAATACAGATTTCTGTCCTGTTTAACACAAACGAGAACTGTAGTACTTGTACCATTCTGTTACCAGAGGTCATTTCATTGACCCTCTTCCCAAACACTAACTTTTAATCCTGATATTTCCCACTATGCGATTTCAACAGACTGACTTCTAAGCAAGGATCTTACACACTGAAAGGTTTAGCATTTGATTTGAGGTCAACGCAAACCAGAATAAAGTATGCTGCAATGTGTTTTTATCTCTGTCCACTTCATCAAAGCTCTCCTTTGGGCTACTATTATTGCTTAGTTTCATTATACATTGTTTCCTGTCAGACCAACCTGGTGGCCTTCTATGACCAGATCACCAAATCCTTAGATGCAGGGGTAGCAGTGGACATAGTCTTCCTGGACTTTCGGAAGGCCTTCGACACAGTCTCTCACCCCATTCTCATTAAAAAACTGGGGGACTGTGGTGTTGAGACCTACACAGTCAAATGGGTCACCAACTGGCTGGAGGGCCGCACCCAGAGAGTGGTGGTGGATGGGTCATTTTCAACCTGGAGGGATGTGGGCAGTGGGGTCCCCCAGGGCTTGGTCCTCAGGCCCGCACTGTTCAACATCTTCATCAATGACTTGGATGAGGGGGTAAAAAGCACCCTGTTCAAATTTGCTGATGACACTAAGATGTGGGGGGATGTGGGCACACTAGAAGGAAGGAATAGGCTGCAATTGGACCTAGACAGGTTACAGTGGTGGGCGGACAAGAATAGGATGGGATTCAGCACTGACAAGTGCAAGGTGCGGCACCCGGGGAGGAACAACCAGCACCATACCTACAGGTTGGGGAACTCCCTTCTCGTCAGTGCAGAGGCAGAAAAGGATCTTGGAGTCATTATTGATGCCAAAATGAACAAGGGCCGGCAGTGTGGGGATGCGGTCAGGAAGGCCAACCGTACCTTGGCATGAATCCACAGATGCATCTCAAGCAGGTCCAAGGAGGTGATCCTCCCCCTCTATGCAGCACTGGTCAGGCTGCAGCTAGAGTACTGCGTCCAGTTCTGGGTGCCGCACTTCAGGAGGGATGTGCACAACACGGAGAGGGTACAGAGGAGGGCCACTCGCATGATCAGGGGGCAGCAGGGCAGGCCCTACGAGGAGAGGCTACGGGACCTGAACCTGTTCAGCCTCCACAAGAGAAGGCTGAGGGGGGATCTAGTGGCTTGTTACAAACTAGTCAGAGGGGACCAGCAGACATTGGGGGAGTCCCTGTTCCCTTGAGCACTACACCAGGGGTGACCAGGAATAATGGTCACAAGCTGGAAGAGAGTAAATTCAGACTAGATATCAGGAGGCGGTGCTTCACTGTCAGGGCGGCTAGGATCTGGAACCAACTTCCAAGCGAAGTGATGCTGGCTCCTGCCCTGGGGGTCTTTAAGAGGAGGCTAGACAAACACCTTGCTGGGGTCATTTGACCCCAGTACTCTTTCCTGCCATGGCAGGGGGTCGGACTTGATCTGCTCAGGTCCCTTCTGATCCTATTAACTATGAAACTATGTACAGTAACTAGGAAGTGACAGAAACAACTTTAACCTCTAATAGGTTTTAAATCCAGTGACTGAGCAAAGCAAGCTACCATGAAACAGTATTTGACTTATTTCTGAACTTCTCTCAAAAGGTTTTCTGACTGAATAAAAAGAAATAATGGCTGTTCTGGCAAGTGAATCACAAAGGTGTTACTGTTACTCAACACACTTAGATATATCTAGGAACCTTGTGTTTTTAAGCTTGTTCTTTTGCATATTTGGGCAGCATGTTTGTGCACATACACTGTGCCTGAAGTCACGTGTAGACAAACAAGTTAGCATGAAATAAGGCTATTTGGCAATACCTGCTCATCCATGTTCACACCCTTCCCTTGCACTAATGAAAGCCAACATGCAGTCAGCTTTCATGTCTCATGGGAAAAGCATGTGCACAAGGCTAGTTACTGCAGACTAGCTGACATGCTGTAGGCCCCTGACCTTAATCTACTTTGCAGTAACTCATCTCTGCATTAATATCCAGATTCACCATTCACATTGGTTTAACTAATTTATACTTAGCTGATTTGGAAGTTTTGGATTTTTTTTTGGTCTGTTAGTCCATAGACTGAGATATTTTTAAAGCAAGGAAGGACCATAAGAGCATCTAATTTTGATTTCCTGTATACCCACAATACATAGCTGAAAAGTTTACAGCATATTCAAAATATGGAGGAGTAAAGTCTTGACATATGAGAGTCATTAGGCATAGACCTAATTTCAAGCACCTGCTTGCTCAATTTACACTGAAGACAGCAGGTACAGCCTTTAGACCTTTGTCTATGAAAACTCTGCATATGCTTCTTTATTCTTTGGTTGCATTACCTTCTTTCTTTAGTTTCCCAAAACTTCTCACAATTTCATGAACCACAGCTGCCCCACTCTGAGGATCAATGCCACCAAATACCCAGGAGTCACGATGGCCTCCCAGGATGACGTACCTGTCTGGAAAAATTAATTATGATTATTTATTTAGGAGGGCCTTTTCTGGAGCAAGACTACCAGTGAAAAGTGCTTATCAATATTTCATGTAGCTTTCCAGACAATGAATAGTCTATCTCAACAGTTTACATCCTATGTGGTGGAATGGCAGAAGCCATCCTTAAATCTCTGTAGAAAAAAACCATTAAAGAGACTCTACTGCTTAACTGCAAATAGTTTCAAGCTTACTTATGTTACTGTCTATTAAAAGTTGACAGTAATTTATTTGAGAAAATAATGTCACAGACATACATAGCAGACACAACTTTTTAAAAACTGGTTGCATTTATAACCCCCTTTTTTTTTTGGACAGGCATAGTTTTTATTTATCATTTGGGCTTTTAATTTACTATGGCTAGCTTCAGCTGAAATATCAGATCACAGAAACAAACAAATCAAAACAAACTACAAAACCCTAAAAAAGAAAACTATCTAGTTTTGCAAACATTTTAAAATTTATATCAGACCGACATTCACCTCCTAGAGTTCAGTGTTTGCATAGACAGAGCTACTAACAGAAATATAGCAGTTATTCCATAGATAGACAAATCTCTACATCTTACTATGGCCCCCTCTACACACGCAAGTAAAGGCACAATGGGAACCTAATGTGCGATTCACACAATCTTGCCATGCCACATGTCCCATGGTGATCTTTCGACCCCAGGAGTTTCCAACACCCTGGAGCCTTAGGGATCATGGCAGATGTGTGACACCCCCAGAGCCTGGAGTTTTTCACTGGGCATGGTGTACCCTGTGGCTGGGAGACCCATCAGATGACAAGGCTCTCACCAGCAGGGGAGACCCTACTACTTGTGCAAATTAAAGCAGGAGGTCTAACTGTATAGCTGATTGGAGCTTTTGTTGCATGATAGCTACTTTGCACAGGTAGATAATCTCCAATTAACTGCACAATTCATCAACTGATTGCACAATACCTTTAACAGGTAGAGCAGGGGTTGTCAACCTGGGGTACATGTACCCCTGGAGGGACTTTGAAAGGTTCCAGGGGGTACATGGGGGCCCATGCCACTGCCTTACAGGAGCAGGGCCTGGAGGGACGAGAGCACGGTCACACAGATGCTGTGCTGCCACCGCTCCACCCCCCCCACCCCGGGGGTACACTTATTAAAAAGGGGGCTGCTGGAGTTACACTTATTAAAAAAAGTTTGAAAACCCCTGATACAGAAGGAGCCTATAATAGATTTCAAAGCTGTCCCAACATGTAAATGTGTACTTCATGAGTGTTCTAAACTACGAACATTTCAAAGATACAGATGTAGTAGATCCCTATCCAGATGACAGAACATGATGAGAGTTATCCAAGCCAGAATGGGAGGTGTAGTTGACAAGACGTCCATCAAAGCCAGACTAACTTCCTGCTGAGTTACCTGATGTTCTAAACAGCTGTATTTCAAACCAGAGCTGGTGGTACTACAGTTGCAGATCAAATAATCTTCCCACCCCATAAATGTCTGTAAATCCATTTAAAAAGGGGCTTTCAGATCCTGGTGGATACTTTTCCATTTTCGTTGCAAATTTGTACAACTCAAAATACCATCTTTCCATTAAAAAAAAGCAAAGACAAAAGGATGTGTTTTCTAGTTATAATGTTGTTTGTCTGGATATGATGGTTCAATCTAGTCAAGACCATGACCACCCTTAGAAAATAGCTTTTATAGTGACACAACCTGAATTCTATTGCTGCATCTCAGTGTGTATGAATGGAAAGGATGATATAATAGAACATCTCAGGATAACTTTTCTTCTTTATATTCCCTTTGCAATTACAATCCTTAATTATTTATATCTGCAGTTCACTGCATACTCAGGTAATTTGTAGGGTAAATGCATTTACCTGATTCCATTGCTCCTTTGATGGTCCCAATTACGTTGTAAATTCTTGTCACTTTATTATTACTATAAATGTGCATTCTGACCTTTCTAGATCATTAGAAAACAAATGTAAAGAGAAGAGTCATCAGGTTAGCTAATAAAACACTATCCACTTAAAATTGTATAAGATGCAACTTGTTTAGACTGAAAGCTTATGGGCTAAATTTTAACCTCAGCAAAATCTGCAGCAAATCTAGAAAAAGATTCTAATGAAGTTGCTCTAAAGTGAAAATGCAGCATTGCTGCTAAAGCAGCTTTTCAGGAAAATGTCACCTTCAGATTAGAATGCAAATTTCCTTTTTACTTTCAAAACTGAAGCCAGCTTACTTCAAAATAAACCTGAAGTAAACTTTTACTGTAAGACTTAAGACATCCCAGGTATGTTAGAAAATCTGCCAAGATGGGGAAGCCTCTTAAATGAATTTATCCCAAGGCCTGTCTAAACCAAGAACAGGTTGAGGATTTTCATACAAATCAAATACAACTCTGCAGGCATTTTGCTCAGAATTTGCTTTATCCTAGAACTCATGCCCAATACCCTCATTTCACTTAAAAACAAAGAAAAATATCAAGTTGCCAGATGTGCACAGTCTTAGTTCAAAGGCTCACACTGCTGTACCTGTGTGTTCCTGTCCCTGAAAACTATTTTTATATAAAGCAAAACTAACCTTGTAGAATAACTCCCAATGAACCCAGGGCCAATGTTGTAAGACACATTCAGACGTCCTTTCCAGCTGCTGTCTGGTGGGGCAGGTCCTCCCATGTTTCTGTTAGAAAAAATAAATGTGATTGTTTTTCATTCTTTATATTGAAGTAGTGCCCTCGAGTGTCCACGATGGACCATGACCTGACCCCATTGCGCTAGGTACCGTACAAACACAGACCAAAAAGACAGTCTATACCCCACAGTGTTATTTGAAGGAGAGGGACACTAGAGAAGGACACTAACATCAAGGGGACTTTTTGTTGCTCTGCTATCTACAGGCAACATTCAGGTCTTTAAATCTAGGTCTGTAAATCTAGATCAACTGCATGGCTTTATCTCAGTGGAAGGAGATGAGGATCAGGCATACTAATTCTGTGTTAGCAGATAGTTCAGCTTCTCCAAATGATTTAAATATGAAGTGTCACTTTTAAGTGATAAATGTGATTTGGGGGAATCAGAAGTTGTTGAAAGGTGTGCTAGATATTCTGGCCCTGAATCACCAAAACTCTTAAGCATTTTTTTTCCTTTAAGTATGCTCTTAAGTGCCAATTCAGCACAGACCCAGACCATATATTTATGCCCTATGAGCACTGTGGGAAGAAATAAATCATGGAAAGTATATTTTTTATAAAAAATATGACATCATAAGAAGAATGAAGGGTTATGACCTTTCAAGATCTATATGAGAATCAAGCTAAAACAGTATACACATTTTTGTTTTACTTAACAATGCCATTGATAGTCAACTGGTGAACACATTTTTTTTTTTTTTTACAGTACAGCCACTGCCAGCAAATGCAATACAATAAGCTAAAACTCCAATTCACAGTATGCTCCCAAGATCCCTTGAATAATCCCTTGACATTCCCTTCAATATAACTACTATCGAGCAACTGTTGTTGTATAATAAGTGTGAGTGTTCCCTTTCTCCAATCACATGCAGTATGTCACTTGGTGAGGGATGGATGGAGGGCTGCATGGTGGAAGGGTGAGAGGGAGAGAGGCAGGCATCCAGCCAGCCTGGTTAGTGGCCCTTCCTGGTTACTAGCCATGTCCCAGCAGCATTTTACTTTTGGTCTATATGACATGTATGGCCAATGGGGGTGGTTTCGGAGTGCTGATGACCATGCAACTTCTGTGGAGTCATGGCATTCCTGGAAAGTTGCGCACGGTGGACTGTTATGGAGGGATGGAGAGAGGTCGAATGCTTGGCCAGTGCTACTGTGCATCCAGCTTTTCTTGCAAGAATGAAGACCAAACAAACCCACCCACCCCCAGCAGCAAGCATGGACCTCCCAGGGCCTTTAGCAACTCTATAAAGACTTTAGCAATGCATTGCAATATTCTCTGCCAGAAGCTGGTTCTGTGAGTGGGTGGGTGGATGGGGGAGAGGGAGGGAGGAAGGCAGGCAGGCAGGTACCTTTTTATAGAGGCTTTACAATATTTTATATTGTAAAGGTGCTGGGGAGGAAAATCCCCACTTCTGTTATACTACTTTCTGTTATCATTATTTATTTAAAGTCTTCCTTCCTTCTGCAAGTCAGAGAAGCAACTCAAGGAGACAGAAGCCTCAAGGAGACAGAGTGGTGCGTGGGTAGAAGTCAGAAGACATGTACTCCAGTACAGTCTGAAGACATGTACCCCAGTCCAAATTTGCTGGGACATGGCCAGTAACCAGGAGGAGGGTGAGATGACTATGAAAAGGGCCAGGAGAACTTGTGCAACTCATGCTGATACAGGAGGCAGGGAGGGTTTTCCCCATCAAGAAGCTTTTCCTCAGTCAGAAGACATGTACCCTAGTCTGAATTTGTTGGGACATGGCCAGTAACCAGGAGGAGGGCGAGAAGAATATCAAATGGGCCTGAAGACATGTTTTCTGTATTTACCCCAATCAGAAGACAACAACTCTTACCATACTCGAGCTGATGCTTGGGCCAAAGCCAGTGAAGAAAGCAGGAGGGCTTGGCCAGCAACCAAGAAGAAAGCCTCTGCAATTCAGAGAAAAAACTCAAGGAGCTGGTGATAAGGAAGGCCCCACCTGCACCCCCCCAGCCCTAAGCCACTGCAGTGGTCATAGCTCCTGAGCACAACTGTATCAATGAATGAAATGGGCCTGTAGAATTTGTCCAGCAGAACTGATGCAGGAGGCAGGGTTTTTCCCAGCAAGAAGCTTTGCCCAGTCAAAAGACACGTACCCTAGTCTGAATTTGCTGGGAGATGGCCAGTAACCAGGAGGAGGGCAAGAAGACTATGAAATGGGCCTGCAAAACTTTTTTTCTGTATTTATCCCAGTCAGAAAACAACTCTTACCATACTCAAACTGATGCTTGGGTCAAAGAAAGTGAAGAAATCAGGAGGGCTCGGCCAGCAACTAAGAAGAAAGCCTCTGCAATTCAGAGAAGAAACTCAAGCCTCAGCTTCCTTTGTGGCCAGTAACAATTCAAAAGTTACAAGGTGCAACAGAGAGGTATACGGCAGAGGTGTACAAGTGGGGCAAAGAGCCCACAGGCATGGGCCTACTACCCCAGACCCCAGGAGGGAATCTGCCGGAGGGCTTGGCCAGCACCCAAGAAGAAAGCCTCCAAGGGTCCAAAGAAGAGCCACATGCATGATCAGAGGTCAGGAAAACAGACCTTACGACGAGGGGCTGAGAGCCATGGGGCTTTTTAGTCTGGAAAAGTGCAGGCTCGAGGTGATCTGATGGCCACCTAGAAGTTTATCGGGGTGACCATCAGGATCTGGGGGAACGTTTGTTCACCAGAGTGCCCCAAGGGATGACAAGGTTGAACGGTCATAAACTACTGCAAGACCGTTTCAGGCTGGACATAAGGAAGAATTTCTTTACTGTCCGAGCCCCAAGGTCTGGAACAGCCTGCCGTCGGAGATGGTTCAAGCACCTACACTGAACACCTTCAAGAGCAAATTGGATGCTTATTTTGCTGGGATCCTATGACCCCAGCTGACTTCCTGCCCTTTGGGCGGGGGGGCTGGACTCGATGATCTTCCGAGGTCCCTTCCAGCCCTAATGTCTACGAAATCTATGAAATTCAGAAAAGAAACTCAAGCCTCAGTTTCTTTGTGGCCAGCAACAAAACACGTTTCTCAGACAAGCCTATGAACTTCACTTCATAAACCTCCTGGATACAGAAACTCATGGACTCAATATAGACATTGGACTTATAACATGCTACAACCTGCCAGATATCTGACTCCCCAGATACCGCTCCACTTTTACCTGCTACATTCCCCTCTCCTCCCCACCCACCCCAGTCTGTCCCTCATCCCCTTATGCCTCCGTCTTCACTGACTAGCTTTCTTGCCTGCATTGCATGCCACCCTCTGGCTTCATTACTATTACTTCCGTCCAGGAAAATCACACACACCACCTGCAGGTGATTCCTCAGCCTGACAAAGGATTTTTCAACCTGAAAGCTTGCTAAGATATATTTCTCCAACTATTCAGTTGGTCTACTAAAACATACCTGATTGACCCAATGAACCTTGTCTGTGTGTGTGATTCCACAGCTCTGTACCTCCCCTACACTGCAGCCCATGCCTCACAGATGGCACCCCAGGCAGCTAAGCTGAGCTTACGTGGAGCCTCATAACTCTACTGCAACCAGCAAGCCTCAGGCCTCTCAAAGATCTTAGGAGTCTGGGCTTTCTCTAGTCAGGACTGTGTGCGCGTGGTAGCTGGCGGTTAAAAGGTGCCTCCTACACACCTTTCACCAGGGAGGTCCTTGGTCCTGGCATTTCCTGGGGGCTGCCGCACCACCGGCAGTCCACCAGGCCTCCCTACCCTGGCAGGGTGCAGTTTTAGGTCATGCCCAGGACTTGGGGCCTCCTCCTTCCTCATAGCCCCATCTCATACATCCAGGTTTGTCCTGGCACAGGAGCTCAGCAGGGAAATGTTCTTCCCCTGCTGGCTGGTGATGCAATGAGTGTCACCTCCAGCTCTGAGAGTGGGGCATTGAATGGTCTGGAAATCAGAAACTGAAAGGAAACAGGTGCAGACAGAGTGAGGAGGGTGGCACTCAGTCCGTCTGCACCTGGAGCTTGGGAAACCCCAGCAGTGGGAGGTTCACCTTCCAGAACACCAGCTGCTCCACCAAACCAGGATCCAAAGAGGTCTGGTGGGGTGTCACTATACCACCAGCAATGCTGAACGCCCTTTTGCTTACAACACTGGTTGGTGGACAGGACAGGTGCTCCTGGGCAACCATGGCCAGATCCTGCCACATCTGGCTGCAGCTTGCACAGTAGGCCAAGGGGCCACACAGCAGCAGTTCCACGTCCCCGGCAAGATAGACAGCCACCGAGGCCTCAGCACTACCTGCCTGATGGTGGGAACTGGTGCCTCTGGATCCCACCATGCAAGCCATGCTCCTGGCCCACATTGACACCACCTGTGGTGGAGGAGGAGACTGGTTAGTGGATGGCATGCTAGCACGGGACAGTGGATCCCCCTCTTCCATGTTCCCCTGCCTCTGCCCTTCTGCCTCCCTGATTCTCTTCACCAGCACCTCCGTCTACTGATCCTTACAACGCACCCCACTTTCTGTCTGCCTTTCTCCCACTGTTCCAGGGTGGCCTGCCTCTGCTTTGGGGGATGGGGGCCTTCAAGTGACAGGGGCACATGAGAGGGGGACTTCTTTTTAGGCACGCTCCCACTGGTGCCAGGCTGAGGAGGAGCAAGGGCAAAGGAATGGTGCCTGCGGAGATGCATCATCATCCCCGTGGTGTTCACGTGTTTCATTCCCTTGCTCCAGCTGGTTTTGGCTCAGCAGTACAGGCAGGTAGCATATGTGGGATATGTGCCACCTGAAAATGATCCCAGACCACACTACCCCCTCACTTCTGGACTGGGGGTGGGGCTCCTGCCTTACTCCCCACCCTCAGCAGGCAGAGGCACAACAACAGGAGGAGCTGAACCAGATGCCCCCACAGCCTGCTCTGCAGTTCCTTCTAGGGGAAGGGACCTGACTCTATAGGAACTTCAAGGGGTGTGGAGCACAAACTCTGCTTCCCACTCCTGCCCCAAAATTTCTTGTACTGCCAAACTGAGGTCCCCTACTTCAAGATTTTGCTCCTCTAAGACTAGGAGTGGGAGGCTCATGCTGGGACCTGCAATTGGGGTGCAGGAGGCTGTGCTGCTGGCACTGCTTGTTGTCATGCTGCTGGTGCTGCGATTTATTATCACACCTGGTGTCACAGGGGCTGCAGCTGCAGGCATGGCTGCAACCTCCTTGCTCCCAGTACCAGCAGAAGCCTCATGGCTGGTTGAAAAGGGGCTGTGTCTCAGCTTGAGCAGCTGGGACCTGACACCTCTCCCTTTGCCCCCTCTCACTCCCCTCCCAGACTTGGCAGCACCAGCCTTTTCAGCACACTTCATGTTTTCCTGTGCTCAAAAAGGTGTCTGACTGTGCGTAGTGTGTATATATGTAGGTGTCTGTGTGTGCAATCCATCTAATCTATGCTGTGCTTTCCTGAACAGTGCCCAGCAATCACACTGTCAGGCAAAACACAGATTTCTTTTTCTTCAGGTAAAAAAAAAAAAAGAATAATTTCAAAGGAATGGATATAGGAAAAAAAGAAATGATATAGGGATAACAATACTAGTATTGAAGTTAGGCTAGTATAGCTAAGCTGTCAGTGTAAGCTGTATCCTATCCAATCCTTTGCAAGTAGAAGACACACTCCCTAGCTAGACAGTAGCAGCTAGGAAGCAGTCAGAGTCAGTGCCTTTCAGATGCTGCTCTCTGGCCAGACAGGCTGACAGCTTAGGCACTCACAGGCTTATATGCTGTTTTTAAACTTTTTAGGTCCCTCCCCCAGAGCACTGGGATTGGAAGCGACCTCAGGGACAGTTGGCAGACACTAGCCAGGTACAGATGTCAGTCTGTTCCCCCTCTCTCCCCACTCCCTCTCCTTACTTTCTCTTTCCCCACACGCCCAGCTTCAAAACACCTTCGAAACACTGAAACACCTTTGAAACATTTTGACTTGTTTGATTTTGTTTTGAACGTTTCGACACATCTCCCGTTTTGTTTCAGATTCAAAATTTTGAGCATCAAAACACTCGAAACACCTCCAAAAGGAATCGGCGGTCAAAATTTTGCACAGCCGTAACAGGCAGCCTAATTGCACCCATGGAAAACATGCACATACTACAAGAGACAGAATCTGGCCCAGAAAGAATGAGTGACACAAATGTAAAGAACCGTTATAAGTGAGTTAAAGGTAAATCTGAGGCTGACAGCTTCATGCAAACAGTCTAGAAGTGTTGTAACATTTCTATTTCTGTAGCACTTCAGAGTTACAGAGGCTTTGTAAAACCAAACTAAATAGGACATGTCTGTCTTGCCTTATTCACAGGAAGGAAATGTATTATGGGTTACTGTACAGAAAGAATCTATTCTACCAGGTGAGGAAAAGATTAAGGCCCAGTAGCTGAACAATGAATGAAAGACAAATGATAAAGGAGTGGGCTTTGCAAAGGCATAAGTGATTTAAGAGATGAGGTCCTACTGAGAGCCAATGTGATTTAGCTTCCTAGGTCATTTTGCCCTATTAAAATTTTTTGCTCAAAGTGAGAAAATTAATAAGAAGTTACATTGCCGATACTAAAAAAAAAAGTTTGCTTTTTAAAAATGCCCTCTCATTGTTTTATTATAGTTTATGTACAGAAGACTTACAATTGAGTGTGGGCGACAGTGAGTTCAAAATTTTATAACATCCCCAGGGCTCCAGGATTTTCATGTGAGCATTACCAGTAATGCCCCTCATGGTCTAATTTTTCAAATACCCCTGCCAAGATATTTGTGAGTATGATTGTTAAGCTTTTTGTTCTCAACGCTGAATGCTGGCTTTTTTCTGGCTCAAATCAAGATTCCTGCAAGGCAGAGAGAGAGAGAGACAGAGAGAGCAAAAGCACTGCTGTAGAGCAGAGACCGAGAAAAAAGAATAGACTGAAGAATATGTACCAGCACACAATGTCCCCTTTACTGCTGCTCCCTAAACCTCTGACGCACAACCACATTAGATGCTATTGCTTAAAGATTACTGAGTTTCAGTTTGCATAGGACTTATAAAAATTAACTTGTAACATGAAAGTATATATAAATGATAGTTATACATATACATAAATGACTGTAAATTATTTGGAGCAAAGCAAGCATCTGCCTCCATCACTGATATTTGTGTATATGAGTAATGTTATATATGAGCGTCAGTTTTTTGAGTTTAATAGAATTATACATTACTTGCATCTGCATTTGAAAAATGAAGAGCCATCTCAGTGATGCCCTGAAAGCCTCTGAGCACTGTTATACCATAAATCTCAAATCATAAGAATGGCAAGGTTATTTAAATAATATCCTTTACTGGACCAACTGAGTAGCTGGAAAAAAAATTTTAGGCAAGCTTTCGGGCACAGTCACCCTTCTTCAGGCACCCTTCCCAGGACTGGGAGTCTCTGCTGGTCTGAGACTTCAAGGAATGAGAGAAGCTAAAAGTGTAACAGGAGGTCAGTGAAAATGTAAATAGGTAGAAATCAGAAAGACAAAAGGTAAAACAGGTAAGGGAGGGGGAAGCAGGCAGGGGGAAAAAGGCTGAAGGGAGACAGTGGTGATAGAATACAAGGTAGAAAGAAGTTGGCAGTGAAAAAGGAATTAGTAGATCAGGAAAACAGGAATGAGGGATGCAGAAAGTGTGACAGGATTTGCATTTTCACTGACCTCCTGTTACACTTTTAGCTTCTCTCATTCCTTGGAGTCTCAGCCCAGCAGAGATTCCCTATCCCTAAAGAAAGGTGACTGCACCCGAAAGATTGCCTAAAATGTTTTCTCCAGCTACTCAGTTGGTCTACTAAAAGATATCACTCAAAGAACCTTGCCTATCTATATCCTTAAACTAACATTATTTTCTCTCCTTCCTTCCAAATACTTCAATACTTTGAAAAACAATCTAACAAAGTTTCCCTTTGCCCTCCTTCCCTTCCCCTTGTACTTACCGTAGTAACTCGTCAGCATCATGGTAACCAATGGGATGGACAGGAATTTTTGGAAGACCTACACCACTGGCTTCATCATACCGATAGGTGTACTCTGGAACCAGAGAGCCACTTTGTATGCAATGCAGAGGAGCGATTCATACAACTTCTAGCCTTGCTGTGCTGAGGAGTTGGTGATAATTACCCTGCCACCCTAGAACTGAGCTTGGCATTTCTACAAAACACTATATTTTCTACACTGCAGAAACACATTTTTCAGAAGGCTTTTCCCAGATTCTCCCTTGGTGTCCACAATTCTGCATCTAAAACTGGCTTGGGATTGTATAATTTAAACGTTTCTCTCTAGAAAGTTCCTTTTTGTGTTTGCTTTGTTGGGATACCTTAGCGTGATGTGCCACCAGTCAAACTGGGAAAGAGTTATCCTGGTAGCCACACACTGGCTGCTGGGAGGGCAGGGATCTGGCCATGCCCCAAACAGCTTTCAAACCAAAAGGGCAGAGTGTGGCAAACTGCACAAGTTTCCGCATGACATCACAGACTGTCCTGATGACAACACCTTGTTTTGACTGTGGTGCCAGCTCTTATTCCCTGATCCTGGGCTCTTAGTATTACTCTCTGGCTTTGGACCTATGCTGCCACAGGGTCAGTTCCTGACTGTGATGGAAGCTGTAGCTTCCTGATTCGGGCTCCTTGACTGACTTGTTCATGGCCCTGTTCATGACCTCAGTATGCTGACCTTGTCTTTGACCCTACCTTGACTTTGGCTCTGGACTCAGACCCCTGAGCCTGAGCCTAACCACTAGGCACCTTTGCCCATGCTACAGTTGTGACACTTAAGTCCAGAATTTTTTGCCAAGAACCATAAAGAAAGGTGAACAACCAATATCTTATGGGTGAAAGGACTCAATTGGAATGTGGGAGATCCTAGTTCAAGGCCTTTCTCTGCCTCATATGGAGCACAGAATTGAACATGGGTCCCCAACGTCCTAGGTGAGTGCCTTAACTATTGTGCTCTTGTGGTCTCTTTCCGTTCTTCCATTAAACAATTAGAAAGTTGCCGTTCTTGTTTTGGTGTGGAACAAAAACAAATGTTGAAATTCCTCACAAAATTCTTATTTTCTGGCCAGCCACAATCTTTTGTGTAGACAACATTCCCCTATTTGGAAGCCATTGCTGAACACGGTTCATTAATAGGTTGGAGGAAGACTGGGCTTTCCTTCATATGAGAGTGTCCCGTGCAGAAATGAAACAAAAGATGAACACTATTTCCTTTGTGCAATGGCAAGAGCTGATGGATTTATGTCCATCTGTTCCAAAGGACAAGCGCTATCTCATAGTCTGCTCCCATCCACTCCTAAGATCCAGCCAGTCTGGACCTATTGGGACCACCGCGATTTCATCAACAAGACTGCCATGACTCACAACATTACTTACCTTTTGCTGGGTAACCTGGTGTGAGGGGATCCCCTGCGCCATTCAGGTTCAATACGTTCCCACGCTGGGCTCCACCTCCTGGAAGGTTCCAGCCTTTTGGATAGGGATCTACCCCAGGGGTACAATAGTCAGCAGGGTCTGAATACAGAATGACTCCCTTGGCACCAGCCAGTTCAGCATTTTTCACCTGAAAAAGCACAGCCCCATTCCCCATTTAGTCCTCTACCAGGTCCTGATCTCTCCAGACCCTAGTCCCAATGGGTGTAGAAAATGCTCAGCCCTTCCCAGAATAGACTCTGTTTCTTTGCATTGAAGGACCTGACTAAAACACGATCACCTTTCAGATCCCACAAAAGACAGCAGACATTGTGACAGGTCTTAGAATCAGATTCTTATTTACTCTAAGGCTCTTTAACACTTCTCTAACAATGCAAAAGGTTATAAATTACATTGACATCCACTGAAGTGCCCCTTGACATGATGTGAATACCATGAAGAGCTAAATTCTATTTCCCTTGGGCTGATGTGGCACTTGCAGGTTCATAGGAAAGTATGGCTAGAAGGGACCTCGCAAAGTCATTTCATCCAGTCTCCTTCTCAAGGCAGCACTGTACCATCCCAGCCAAGTGTTCTGAAAGTTTCCAAGGATGCACATTTCTCTAGGTAGCCTGTACCAGTGCTTGACTACCTTATAGTCAAAAAATCATAGAAACATTAGAAAATTAGTGAAAAACTTCCTCTAAATCTTCAACCTAAATCTTCTTGGCTGCAGTTCGAGGCTGTTGCTCTTAGTGCTGTCTCTTGTGGCCAATGAGAAAAACTCATCTCTATCCTCTCTGGTTGCTTACAGAGGTTGAACCCCCCCCAGCAAAATGGCGCTTTACTTTAAATCCACTGCGCTCCCTTCCCAAGCTCAGCACATGCCCAGAAGAGGCATCACATTAGTTGGACCCAGCTCACCCAACATCTGTATAGATTGGCTGCTTACTGGGGCTTTTTGGGCACTTTTATCTAATAGCTGATTGAATCAGCTTTACATAAATGCGCCTAAAAGCCTTGCTGAAGCTCCTGATCTATATAGATGCTGTGGAGCTGGGTCAAACTAATGTGCTGCTTCTTCCGGTAAAGCGCATTATTTTTTCTTTTCTTTTAATGTCTGTAAGCAGCCCCTGTAACTGCCTTGCAGGTATTTGAGCAAAAGAATCACTCCCTTAACTTGCAAGTGATGCTCCTATAAATACAACCTGGCCTTTTTTTCCCATAACAAGAGCACACTGTTGGTTAATACTCAGCTTATGAGCAGGTCCTCCTTCTCCCTTCTCCCTGCTATTTCCAGCCAGCATGCATGCAAGACAATTCTACTTCACCACAGAGAAAAATAAAATCCCAAATTGTGTGTAAGCATCAAAAACTGCATTTATGTGGCTGAGTATGTACCATTCACATGCATGAAGTGAAACAGAATTTAGCCTCAAAAGCCTTTAGGTCAAACAGAATTGGGCCCATCATTTTCTTACATCGTGCAACTCCCTCTTGAGTTTGGTACCCTGCTGAGAAGCTGATACAACACAGATAATTGGGACTTGTTGCTACTTTGAATACTACCCAAGAGATAAGTGGACCAACATGAACTAACCTTCCCCAGAGCATGACTGCACCAAACATAAATCTAGTTGGTACCTTGCCACTCAGACAAAAGCAACCACCTGACTAATGAAATGCTGAGTGAACAATAAAAATGTTTAAGCAGTATGGAAACATGCTGAATTTTTAGTTGGTAAGAAATGTATTTACTCTGAGGATCTCCTGAGAGGTCTCTAGATCATACTAGAAAGAGAAAATATATGATTTTAAAGCAGGGGCAGGCAATTATTTTGGGCGGAGGGCCACTTACTGAATTTTGGCAAGCCATCGAGGGCCACATGACAGGCAGCCAGGGGCAGATAAATATTAATTTCCTAAAATTTTTAGGGGCCCTGTGGGCCAGATAGAATGGCCTGGCGGGCTGCCTCTGGCCCGCGGGCTGCATTTTGCCCGCCCCGGTTTTAAGGGCTCAAATCTGCTGCTCAGCTGAAAACAAGTGTAACTGAAGAGTAATGGTGTACTTTCATCTTATAAAGGCACAAAAGCCTATTCTGTGTATTGTTTCCCACGGGGAAGTGTTTTCATATTAATTATTTTGGTAAACAGCATCACTGCTTAACTCTCCCAGCTGATCTGGTTTTGAGATACCATCTATCTTATCCTAGCTTTCTAAATAATTTTGCTGCCCAGTAACACATACCAGAATAGTATATGAGGGGCAAATAATCTGCAACTCAGTGTCACAGTCCAGGTATTTTAATCAAAAGCTACCACAGGTGACTAGGAAATGCACTGTTTGCCTTTATCCCCTACCCTATTCTTAATCAATTTAAATATAATCTGACAGTGCAGTCACTCCATCAGACATGCATGAACTAATTTTTCAGTAGAAGACACAGCATTTCCCACATGTTGACACATGAATTAGTTTATTCGCTATTCCTTTTAGCATCAATTAAGCCATGTAATTTCCAAGCTTTAGAACTGCTGCACATTACACACCTTAAGTGTGAGATGACTTCAATTTAATTTTAATTCATGCTATAAAAACAATGCCCTCTCTGATTTTATTAACCTTTTCTATCCAACTGGTTTCTGTATATCCTAGGACCAAAAAAGCATTATTAAATGCAGAATAATTTCTGAATATTATATTACATTATTTGTATGACATTTTATACGTGAGACTGATAACTATTATAAACAAGTGTTTATATAGTTGGGCACAAAATATTCCTGAAGGGAATATCACAAATTTGGTGTCCTCATTTAAAGTTAGCACTTGAGTCTCTGAGTTAACTGAAAATATGTAAATCACCTATGAAGTGTAATCCTGCTGAAATTCAAGTTGAGGGACTTTTTAGCATTGACTTCAGTAGTAATTAGAGCAGGTGTGGGTCTCAATAGTGACTTTCTCTTTCCCTCTGACTGACCCAACCCTGTGACCACAGGGAGAACAGATACAAACATCTTGATGTGTTGGAGAACAGGCTTTGTGTGTCCCAAGCAACACCAACTCTATATGACCAGCATAGCATAGTGGGGAATCAGCTCCACTGCCTTAAATTACAAAAAATTTTGTTCAATGCTCATTAATAATTCATTTGCTTATTTTGCATGGCATTAGTAGTCACATTTATTTATTCTGCTCATGCTTGTTCAGTGACAATATCACCTGGTTCCACTTTGGTTTTGCCAACAGCTGTCCAGACCCTCTCTCCATTGCTATTACCCAACCCTCACACTTCCCATTCCCCATCTGACACAAACCCTATTTAACACTGAATCCTCTGCTTCTGCTTCGCAAATATAGCCCTCATTCAGAAACATATCCTCATTCAGGAAAGCCCTTAAATATGTTTAAAGGTAAGCATGTGCTTAATATGTTTCCTGAATTGAACTTGAAGTATCAGGAGAAATCAGTAGGCTTTTTTAAAAAAAATCTTAGTTCAGAAAAGAACTGGACTAATGTATTCTTAGAGCATTTGTTCTCCATATCTTCTGAAGTGGGCATATATGGATGAATAGGATGCTTAAAATAAATCCTCTTTTGGATCACTCCCTGCTTATTTCATGGGAATCTTTAAACAGAAAGATGTTATATTCATTTTAAAGCAGTTTAGCTGGGAAGCTGTATGTGTGTTACAAGCATATCACACATATTTTGGAATATTCTAGCATGAGCAGATGGCTGGAGAAATAAGTAACATTTATTTTAATGTGTTCATATGAAAGAGCTAGGGTTGTAGTCTGGAGAACAGAAGAGTTGGGGAGGGAGGGGGAATCTGATAGCAGGACAATTCCTGAAGGGCAATTATAAAGAGGATGAAGACAGCCTTTTCTCAGTTGTTGTAGGGGAAAGGACTACCAGTAATGGTTTTATATAGCAGAAGGGGAAATTTAGGTTGGCAGTTAGGAAGAACTTTCTGACTAGGAGGGTGATTAAGCACTGGACAGAGAAGTTGAAGAATCTTCATCCTTGGAAATTTTCAAGAGCAGGTCATGTAGCCACTTGACTATGATGGTTTAGTCAGGGATGATCCTGCCCTGAGTAGAGAGCTGGAGTGAATGACAGTCCTTTCCAGCCCTACTTTCCTATGAAAGTGTCTCTTATAGTCCAAAATCCTCTTTGAACACAGTTCAATAACAAACTCAGTTACTCTAAGATCTCCAAAAGATTTAAAATGTGTATGTCAGCCATAGAGGAGGCATATCTGAAACACAAACTGAGCATAGATGGAAATTTTATATTGGGCACATTACCTTGTTTCCTCTGAAGATTTTCCCATATCTGACAATAACGATCTTTCCCGTACAATTGATTCCCATCTCTCTCTCCAGTTTAAAAAAGTCTTCAGTGCGGCCATAATTGACGTACACTAACTCACCCTAGTAGACAAGAGGAACAAGTGGAAACAAGGGTGACTAAGAATATGATCTAATAAGCAGATGGCATGGAAGCAATGAACTCGGGTTGTACTGTTTGAGATATGTTATAAAGTCTGAGATGCGCTCCCTCTATGGCCAAATGCTAGTTATACAGGCTTTGTATAACTATATGTATACATTCAACTCCCATTCAAGTCAATGGAAGCTGAAGGTACTAAACACCAATGGCACATTAGTACAGCAAATGAGAGTTTCCCAAATCTACACGTTAATACCCTTCATGCTTGCATTTCAAGGAAGTATTTTAGTTGTAAGAGCATGCCTACATCTGTATGCACTACTGTAACCAGGCCCCTACCCCATTACCCAGGAGGGGAAGGGAACCTACAGGACAGCCAAACTCCTTGAACAGACTTCATAACAAAAAGGGAGGTTAAATAAAATGTGTGCCTGTCCTAGGTCCAGGCAGTGATTGGCAGGTCTGGGCTGGAAGTAGAGGGCCAGGTGATCCAGGGAGAGACTTATAAGTGCAGGGCTTGGCCCAGAAGGTACAGTCTAGCTGTAGAAGCTAGTCTGAAGACAGAAGGAAGCCTGTGCTTTGAGCAACAGGACAGAAGTACTTTGAACCTTTGTGTTGGTGCTGCTGCGAGGTGAAATGAACCCCAACAGGGGAACTTGTGCTGTGTGAGCTTTATGTGTTGGAAGCAGATGCTCATACTTCTTATTTGTGTTTAAACTGGGGGAACTGAGTGTGGCTGTAAGGGGAGGACTGGAGGCCACTGGGTGCTGCAGGAGCACCCAGCACAGAGCACCCCAAGGGACTGCAACCCAGTGAGCTGTGTACAGCAAAGACCTGAGCACTTTGGAGGGAGGACTGTGGTATGCTGGAGTACTGAATACCAGGCTGAAAAGACTGAGAGGGCGCAAGCCCAGCGCCCGTAAGGGGTGCAAGCAGCAGACAGAGAGGCCTGCAGCCTCAGGGACAAGCTTGGGTTCATGAGCCTGGCGTTCTGATGCAGTGGGTGGAAGAAACCCAGGTAGATTAATATGGGTCAAGGCTGGAAGAAGCCTTTAGAGCTTACTCTAAAACCCACTCCTGCCTCCTGGGGCAATTGTAACATCAAAGTGTGGCAGGTGAGATGAGTGTGGGCAAACCCTGGGAGGCCAAAGAGAAGTAATGAGGCAGAAGCCGGATGGTGAGCCAGGCACATTACAATTACCATGAATATCCATACTTACATTTCCCTGCAATTCCAATGAAATCCCTCTCTCCCAAGTGAAGCTCTGTGCTCAGAGATGTGCATCTGGAGCTTGCATTATAGCACTAGCATGTTCTAAGAACACCTGGGTCACACTGCTTTAATGTTATATCTTAGTGACCTTAATCCTACACTGTACAGTGGCCTCTGTCTAAAGTGGACCTGGACTGAAATTCTGAAATTTGAAATTCTGGCCCAGATCATGCAGAGGTCCAAATGAAGATGATGCATCATAAGGGTTTCCTGATACTGCTCTAAGGGCTTGATTCTCTTCCCAAACTAAGGATAGCTCAATTAAAATCCAGAGAGTTGTACTGGTTTCAAACCATTGTAAATCCAAGGGAAACCTGGCCAATTCTCTCAACATTCTTTCTATAAATATGTAGGACAAAAAAACGTAATATTTTCTCCTCCTGTATTTGTTGACCAAGTACAAAATGCTGATTTGTGTGCTTTCATAATTGGATTTCATAATTATACCAATTAAAGGCAGCCTGCTGGGCTTCCACAATCAGCATAATTGTTCTACAATGAAAGGATATGCCAAGTCATCATGCAAGTTAAGTTTTATAGCTGCAACCTGGTCATATAATCCTTTAGTTTTTCTTTTTCTTTTTTAATTTCCTTAATTAAACAAACACAGACAGTGCTACATGAATGCACTATCTTGATTTGTTCTGACATAAAATCCTTACAATTAAATATAATTTAAAATGTAACCAAGAATAAAAAGAGACAAAAGGTTCTTAGGATATTGCACAGGAATTTATATTTACTTAATGTTTGGACTTACAAAACTATATATAACAAAAGAGGTGATTTGACACATTATGCAACAAACTGGCCTTACTTGGGATTCCTTACACCTCCTTGGAAAGCCCCCCTCTTTTCAACTTACTTCAAATAGCACGGCTACTTTAGAGTATTGTGATCATTTGCAGTAGAATTTGCTAGTAATACAATGAAATCCCCATTGCTGCTAATAGCACTGCTGCTTCAAAATTGGAAAATGCAAATGATAAGAACTCAGTGGGAACTCTTACAAAAGCTCACAAAACAGCATAAACTTAATTGTAGATTGTAGCGGGCTAACTCACTTGTTGCCGATGGCCAAATTACTTTATGAAGTTGACAAATTCTGTCTACTAATTCCCTACTAATTTGTAAACACAGCCTCTGATTCCAGCCGCTTAACCTTCAGTGATGTTTGGGTCGTGATACTAAAACATTCTGAAAATGTAACTCCAGTATAATCAATGCAGTGGTCTTCAGAGAGCCTGAAGCAATAGCTTAAGAAAGAGGTTCAACTGAATGACTTCATAAATCTGAAAGCTGCTGCCAATGGAGATCTCTCTCCAGTGCTAATTCATCAGTGGACGTGGTGTGCAGGTCCTCCTGGCTGCTCCGCTCATTCTGCTAGGATGTTGCTAGCAGTAGCACTACACGCACAGTTTTCTACAGGGGCTGTGATCAATGGGTTCCAGATCAGATATTATGGGTCTAATTTTTCATTGAGTACTATCAGGGAGGCTAAGACAGAGGCTTTATTCTGTTTCCTGCTGTTCGGCATTTACACTATGTTAGTGGTTTTATTTTTCTTTCATCTGTCTTTTCTACCAGAATTTAGCTTTAATACATCAAGTAAAGTAAACTTTATTTTTCTGTATAATTTATACCTGATACCTAGCGTATTCCAAGGACAGATTTTGCTTTCTAATCTGAATCTGTAGCAACTGCATAGAAGTCAGAATTATACTTGTGGAAATTAAAAACAGAATTTGGCCCTACGGACTTGAATGAATTTAAATAGCTAATCCCTTTTCTTTCTGGCACATTAATTTAAATTTCAGTATTGTAATGCCACAGGATTTCTTTATTTCTTTTAATGGTCTTCTTTGAATTTATGATGCCACATGCTTAACATTCCTTCACACTCCTAACGATCCTGTAGTTTTGAAACCAGAAGCTTTTTAGAGAAACAAAGACAAGGAGAATTGTGCAATTAACTTCCATACAATAACCAGGAATCTGCTCTAACCTAATAAAGGTCTGCTGCTTCCCGGCCCTACATGGGGAAAACATTTTTTCAGATCAGCTGTGGGTTTTTTTAAAAATATTCTTGTACAAACAGCTCTTGTCAATGCTAGAAAGAACTTGCCATTAGAGCAAGCCCTTGGCACTGAAGACATCGTTCTATTTTATTGGTGTAATTTCTATCACATTTCTTAGGGCCTTGTTACATTATGCTATGAGCTGCACACATGCTGATCAGTGTTAGTGCTAGCTTAGAGTTTGGAGCAGTCACCTGTAGTCAAGAAACCTTCTCTGACTGTTCCACATCTGCACAGCTATGACTTGCTACCAGAGGTGTGGTGAGCAGGGGCAGGGCTAGGACCTGGAAGGCTGGTGAGCCAGGGCAGGCTTCCACCCCTGCTCAATGGGCAGGAGTGTGAGAGATCCTGGGATGCCGGAGGACTTCAACTTCGGTGGCATATCTGTGGGGAGCGGCCACACTTGAATGGAACTACTCCTGGGCTGGGTAGTACAGGTCCAAGAGAATCCTGCCCTGGAGCAGTGCAACTTTGAGCTATATAACAAGTGCTTAAAACCACTTGAAGGTGTTAACATGCAGAAAATTCAGGAGTTAAGAGCTCCAGAAACTGCCAAAATTACCATATAACAAGACCTTGAATTAAATCATCTCCATCACCAAAGGGCTTTCTTGCACTACTCCAGCACTTTTGCCAGAACGACAATGCCAATTAGGAATGAGATTTTTTTTCACCTCCTTAATCCACTCTGTTTTGCTGGTACTCTCCTAAGTGTAGGAGGAGGCCTGGCAGCCAGTACTTTGGTTACATCCAATTCTGCTATCCTAATGAGAGCAGGATATAGGCTGTACTGTGTCTATAAACTGTCTTGCTAATGAAAAGTGGGTTCTTAGAGAGGTAAAAATGATGCCTTAGGTCATCTGGACTATCCCCTAACTATACTTCCTACACTTCATATTTTCCTGGATTTTGTCCAATTAGTTTTTTTTAATACTCATTGGAAACAGTTCTACAATCCTGACTAGATCTTGGTGTTAAGAATCTTTCCCCATATTCAACTTAAAGTTATCTAGCCTTAATTTAATCCTACTACTCTTGGTTGTATCTTGTTGGGGTACAACAACATTGTGCATATTACACAGTGGCTTTTGTTTAGTGGTTTTTATAACATTTATGTTATCTTCTATCAAATCTACCTAGATATTTTTAAGGCACTGATCACTGTGGTAGCCATACACTGTACACCAGAGAAAAGTGGCATGATGTATGCCCCAAAGGTTTGTTTATGCTGGAAAAAAAAGAACCAAAAGCAGTTTGAAATGCATTTACTAACATGTTCACAAACTGAGGCTAGAAGGGGCAATTATGGTCATCTCCTATGATCACCAGCGTAACAAGCCAGAGACTTTTACTAATTGGTTCTTGTATCAAGCCCATGTGCTTCTTAATTAGTCACAGCAGTGCGGTTTGCCCACTCAGGGGCAGCCAGCATTGTTTTGAGACAAACCTCTTTTAAGAACTCCTATAAAAAGGTACTTCGGGCCTGGCAGAAGGGATTATCAGACCCATCTGAGAAAAGGCTCAGATGATGCCTGCAGGGCTTGAAAGAGTTTACTTTGGAAGGAAAACGACTGTAAACAGATTGGCTCTTTTAACAGTCCCTGGGATAAGAGACTCCCCAGAATGTGGCATGTAGGAGGACTGGGCAATAGCTTTGTTTGCATAATAAATGAAACACTGAGGAAAGGGGCCAGATGAAGCCTTTGGGTAAGGTATATTGTCTGCACTGGACAGACAAATTAACAACCTACAGTCATTTTGCCATCTTTTACTAATGTTATCATGACACTGGGAGTGGAGATGCTTTACTTAATGCACCAGCACAGGAAGGCAAGTGATTATGTCTCTCGTTGTCCGACTCACCCCACACCTCTCATTTAAGCTTTTAGCTTTCACTGTGGTAGGTAAAATTTTAGAATATGACCCAAGTGCACTTAGAATGCCCTCAAACCAGAAGCCAAACCACCCCACATTTTTTGAAATTACAGGTGGTTTTGTTCTCCATGTCTCATAAGACAAGAACAAGGAGATAATTAGTGAAATTCAAAACCAAGAAAAAGACACATTCTGTCACCCAGTTTGAAGAGTGGAACTTGCTGCCACAGGAAGCCATGGAGGCCAAAAACTGAACACAGGTTTCAAGGATATCAAGATCATCTAACATTATTCATCAATGACTACAAACTCTGAATGGGATAAGAAATCTCATGCTCCAAGACTTAAAAATGAGACCCATGGTGCAGATTGTACCATACCAGCATACTTAGCATTTTTTGCCGTTCCTCTGAAGCAGCTAGTATTGGCCAGTGTCAGAAATAGGGTAATGATCCTGTACGGCAGTGGTGTCAAACTCACCCTGGTACCCAGGCCAGATCTGGACCATAAGGAGCCTTGCAGGACAGATCCAAACCTAGCAGAAGTAGGGTGAGCAAGTAGTGTGGGAATTAACATGACTCTTACTCACACCTTTGTCATCATCACATATCCCCAATGGGACTCTGTAGCTGGAAATTTAGTGGTGGACACCATCCCTGATTCCTGGCCCTTCTAAGAGCACTAAGGGGCAGGTGAAATGGCTCTAGGGGCCAGATCTGACCTGCACGCCATATCTTTGACACCCACATGGTACAGTGAGTCCTGAGGCATTTCACTATGGGGGCACTTGTTGCTGAAAATGCTGCACTCAAGAGTCTTATCCTGGGTTGATCCATTCATCTTGTTCCTGTGAAACAGCTGCCCTGGGAGGGCATGAATAATTAGGTAGTTTCTGAAACAGTACATCATGTCAGTATGTTGAGTGCCTTGAAAATCAGGCCTGGGACTGAATTGCTTGCTCCAGCAACAGACAGGCTGAAGGTGGAAAACTCAGCATAGTCTTAGGCTGTGTTCTTGTCGGTGCTTACTGGTCAAGTGGGTGACTGCTCCAGATTGTAGACCACGTCGATAGCTTAAAAGAACAAGTTGCCTTGGTTTTTCTTTTCGTTATAGTGAAATGGGCCAGATTCAGAGGTATAACTTTGATCTTCCAAAGTATTTTTACATATCTGAGGTGTTAATTCTGATGTGGGTGAAAAAAGAGGGGAAAATTCCAGCAGGGGCAAAGCAATCCCCTTCAGTTCAGTAACAAAAGTATAACAAGCAACACGAGAGCTCTCAGGTGTGCATCAGGGAAGCATGGCAAGCAGGATTTGCCCTATAAGAAAATACTCTCTGGTATATAAATAAAACAGTTTGTAAAACAAAGTGGGCATGTCTGGCTAAAAGTGTAACTCAAGTGAACAACTTTGTATACTGTACAGCTGGAGTAACAACATCATTTTTTTAAAACTATACTTTCCAAAGACTGGCAAATATTTTATATGATTAATATTGAAATTATACAAGTTGTGTGGCCTCTTAGCAAATAGTACACAGGCAGGCTAGACTGGTCCTTGGTGAGAATGAGTTTGATGTTGGGCCCTGGACTAGGGCTCAATATTAAATGCTTGATGGTGCCACCACAGACTATCATTGCTTTTTCTGTGCCCCAGATAGCAATCTGTAAATGGTGGCAAGTACTTCCTTTCTCCTCCCTTCTACTTGCTTGTCTATTTTGACTGAAAAGTTATGGGCACAGGAAATATTCTTCCCTCAGTGCCCAGCACAATGCAGTCTTGATTTGTTTGGAGCCTAGGTGCTATCATAATGCAATTAATAAACAACAGGGTGGAAAAATGTGTAGCCCACAAAGGAAACCCCATGTGGGTTTCCATTTACAGAACAGAGCAGCATCTTGGAGTACTCTTCTATTAACAGTGCTAGTGATATGCCTGCAGCTTTGGCCAACACAGTCCTATAGTATGGAAAAATTAACATCTGATTTTTGAAGAGACAATCTGGCATCATGTTTCTCTTGAAATGACATCCATGTCATTAATTAAAACCATTTTTAAGGAAGCTTCAACCTTTCATATGTAGTTATTACTCCCCCTGCTTCCTATCACTTTGTTTAGCTAACAGAAAGCCAAGTAAAATGATATAGTTATCATATTTTTCTTTCAGGACCTTGCTTTATGTCTGGAATTCAGAATCCATTAATGTACCATAAATTAGGTTGCAAATGTCTTGCTACAATTCTAGAAATTCTCATTAGCTGAAAATACCCTGCTTAACAGAGCTTCTGGCCTAGTTTTCCACATTAATAAAGCAAATTGTAAACAGAATACCTTTAATTTTCTAGACTTGTGCAGCCTATTAATAAACTGCACAAGATTAGGAAGTAGCAGCCTGAATTAAATAGACAAGGAAGGCATTATGCACAAACAGCTCCTTTCTAATCTTGCACACTGTTGATTAAATGCATTAACGAATGGTGCGGACACAGCGCATGAAAACTCCTGCTGTGAGCACCAGCTTGTAAGGGAAGGTCTGTCCTTTGGACCTGCCTGTGAAAACTGAGAGGCATAAAAAGGAACAAGCTGCAGCCTGTTCTAAAGTGCAAGGGTCTGTGAGCATTTGAGTTTGGGGACTAAGTCCACTTAGATGCTCAAGAAGTGGAATAGGATTTGATCCACAGAGCCTTCCCCACTTCCTTTTTTTTTCTACAATGGGCAGCACAGCTAGCTGGGTTGCAGACAGGACATCATGGGACATTACTGTATGAGAGTGCTACAAGCACATTCTCCTGGGCATGACCACTTTCAGAGCTTCCCACTGCTGCTGCCACTTGACATCCAACACAGATCAGTGCTTTTAGGGAAAACCAGTTAATAATGCTATTGTTATTATTCTTGGCCATCAGCTAAGCAAGGGCATCGAATGTCATTTAGTTCGAGGGTCTAATATTAACCAGAGGTTTAATCATGACTCTTTGGCTTATGCCAACAAAATCCCAGACCTGGACTAGTTACCCTGATATTAGCTGAGAATGATTGGAACTGGTGGTGCACAGATGTAAGCTCTCAGCCAGAAAGAAGGCTACCAAAATTTCTGGACAACCACCCTTCCTGCACACAAAGCGGCCCAATTCTTAATTCCTTCCACTCCAGGCTCAATCATCAGGATTTCTGACCGATAATTAATGCCAAATGCTTTTTCCAATGTCTGGAAGTCTAGTACTTTCTAGGAGTGCCATAAGATGAGCACTGGCTGAAAAAATAGATTGAAAATATTGTTTTATATTTACTGTGATACCTGAAATGTCATTAGCAGGTATCTGCCTTAAATTTGTTCTAAAAACACACACAAAACCCCCATGAACTAAAGCTAGAGAAAAAACTGAATAGACTAATATGATTTCCTAACTTGAAACTCTCCCAGCACACCAGGCCTATGACTTCCACAGTACAGGTAATGCAATGTTGTGGTCTGAGCTCAGGGGGCAGTGCCTGGAGTGTCACAGGTGTGTTCTCATTACCTCTGGCAGGCCTTGGGCTGAAAAAGCACTGTAGGGTGGCACAACATTTCTAACAGTCTCATATCCTGGAGGCGGGGGCTCAAATAACGACGTATTGAAGATCTAATTTGAAGGATGCAAAAAGAGATACAGGCATTAGAAAAAGGAATGGGCACATCCCTTGAGTAATTATTGTTAGACAAGCTAGTTCTATTTTTCCCCCAACTTTCCTCCTGATCAGCACTGGACATGCAGGTCCAGTCTGGAGGAAGAGGCCATAACCATGCAAAGATAAACATGTAGGTGGACCCCTTCACCCTCCTACAGCCATATTGATGTCTGCATAGTGACAGGCACTCACCTGAATGGTTCTCTGCACATGCTATATTAGTGCAGGGTTAGACAACACACTGGTAAAAATGCTTACATTTTGTCTATGCTAGAGCTCCCATCAGCGAAGAAGCTACTCTTGTAGCAAGCTATACATCCGGTTTTTGCTAGCATAGGCCTTCATAAGTCCTGTACTCCAGCCCTTAACACACACCCTTTACAACACAAAAATACCTATACTAAATAACAGATGAATCCAAGTAACACATCTTAATACAATCATTCTCCTTCTGATCAGAAAGGTACTTTAAAAATAAAATAATAATGAACACTTGCACAGTTTTCTTTTGATCAAGGGAGCTCAAAGCACTCACTCTACAGCTATGGGGAGGACTGTCACCCCCAATTTTTCTATAAGGAATTTATTTATTGGCAAACTTAAGGTATAAAAAATGTTGACACACAGCCCACTGAAGTCACTGACAAAACCTTTGATTTCAAAGAGCTTTAGATGCGGCCCAAAATAATTTTCCTACAGTACACCCCCAGCAGAGTGGAGAATAAATTCCCCACTTCCACCCCACAGCTTTCTATCCCTGAGTAATATGTGAAGGTGATGCTTAACTAGTTGCAAGAAGAGACATCTCCTTTACCTCATTTCCATGCTCATCAATGATAGAGATATAGTTGGGATTTGTTTTATCTGGGTAAGACAACAGGACATCATAATGAGTCAGCTGAACCAAATCCAATCCAAATATCTCCCACTGGGTTTGGATTTGCTGCGCCAGGTGCAGATTTTCATCTGTTCCCGCTAGGTGAGGAAGTCGAGTGAAATTGCTGGGAAGAAGTGGGCAATCAATGGTAGAAGTTAGAGTTTGTAATTGGAAGCAATTGGTCTTGATCTCACTGGAAACAAGTCAGTCTTAACACAGAAGAGAGAGAAGTAGCATTCAAATTCAGTCAGATTTCTTGTTATTTCAGCATCTATGTATTTGAAGTTTGTAGGATGGATAAAAGAGCAGAAAGTTTTCCTGGAACTATTATTACTGCTTCCTTTTCGACACTGGAAGACAGTATGACTTAAAGGCCAGAATACTGATATGGGACTTGGGAACTAGATCCTATACCCAAGTCTCCTACTGGCCTTCTGGGTGCCTTCACCTCTTTATTTCACAGCTTCCCCATACCTAACATTGGCATAATGCTACCGATCCCCTTTGTGCAATGTGTTGAGGTATGCTGATGGAAAGTGCTGTAGAAGAGCTAGGTACTACAGCTGAACTTTCCATATGTACTTATCAATCTGATCCCTAAAGGTGCTTTGCTCCTATTCATGGGACTAGAGGGTTTATGCAGTTTTCAGTTATTTGTGAGTTTTGGCACATATTTGTACATCTGTCTAGAAATGCATAGTGCCTGCATGTTCACTCTTTGTTGTTTATGTTTAAAAAAAAGATTCAGTCATATAAACAGGAAACCAAACTTGTGACTGAGAGAACTGACCACACAACATGGATAATACCTGGTAAACAAGCTTGGTGAACAGCTTGTTAAAAAGCTTGTATGAAGCCCATTGTCTGAAAAGATTGTTTATGCAGACGATCCAAAAACAGTGGCTTTGGGGTTAGGGCCCAGGGGACATAATGGTGGGGGGAAAAATCCTTTTATTTCTGTTCCAGAGAACACCGAGAACCAAATCATCAAATCGAGTACTCTGGAAGAACAATGTTCTCCTACTTTATTATGAGTGCTCCTGGCTATCATCATTTTCTCCCTCTCATACTTCTATGTCTGTGTCCTAATATGGCCTTTGGGGGCACTGTTCCTGCAGAGGTGTCATCTTCCGGATAGCATGAAGAACCAAGGTTCACTTTCAATCATTTTAGATCCAAAGACCGCTTTAATAAGAGTTGGGTTTGTTTAGCTGGTGTTTTTGGCTGAGGTTCAGTTTAAGTAATTAAACTTTCTCCTGTTCCCACTGCTGTCTGAACTGGATGTCCTGTTCTCCCTTATTTCTTGCCCTAAGCTGTTATTCAGTGCTGTCATTATATAATTGCCACATTCCATCTCAGAGTTGGCTGCACTGCAGAAACTGAGGCACCAATACTTCCTGTGGGTGTAGTCATAGCAGAAAGCAAACCCAGGACAGGGAGGTTTAGCAACCTTGTCAACTTGGTAATAACCAGAACTAGGGTGAAGATTTTTTTTCTAATTAATTCCTGGATCCTTGGTCTCTTAGTTTGTTTAGTCCACAGCATGGTCATTACAGAGTAAAGAGGAAGCATCTTCAAGTTAACTGAAAAACTGCACTTGTTTGTGGCAAGTGCATTTAAAATTAAATCAGTGGACTTGCCATCATCTCATCGGTGGGGAATGTTTTTCTAGGAACATTTAAACCTACGCATAACAACATGGTATATAGCAGGCTGAGAATTAAACCCAACAGCAGAATCCCTGAATTAGTCTTAAATCACTGATACTTTTGTTTACACTGAAAGTTAATTACAAGTAATAAGGTTTCTGATCTGCTCCTGGCTGGAATAAAAAAAAGCTACCAATAAGTGCTGGACCCCATTTGCAGTCAACTAATGACTTTACATGATCACCTTAAATAAAGTGGTAAATGCATCTCACTTTTTCCCCTAATTAAAGTTTCAGAATGAATTACAGAAATTAAGGACTATTATAGATTTATTTTTTTTAAAGAAAGGTTTATGGGGCCTTTGCATGAGTGTCTGATTCTTCAGGAGATGCTAGCAGCAAAGCAGCTAGGCTGTAATAAAAGAACAAGAGTAGTGTGAACATTATGGGCCAGATGCCATTCCACCTTATAGTCACATAGGTGGACTTAGGCACCTAAGTGCAATTCTTTTCCACCTTGCTGGGGTCCCTGAAAAAAGTTAATCCAAAAGGTGAGTTCTTCTGGCTGCTTTTTATGACACTAACAGGAGTGTTAAGACTAAAAAGGAGTGTCAAGGGAAAGTGCAATCAAGGGAAGTGATTCTTTTGCTCTATTCAGTCCTGGCGAGGCCTCACCTGGAGTATTGTGTCTAGTTTTGGATCACATTTCAAGAAGATTGTGGACAGTTTGGAAAGAGTCCAGCACAGAGCAAGAAAACTGATTAAGTGCCCAGGAGACAAAGACTTACCAGGAAACACTGAAAGAACTACAGCTATTTAGTCTGGAAAAGAGGAGACTGAGGGAAGATTTAGTAACAGGCTGCCTATACTTGGAGGGCAATTACAGAGAAGAAGGAGATGGCTTTTTGTCTGTGGCCATTCAGCAATGGCCTCAAGCTGTAGCCGAGAAAATTTAGGTTAGAAATTAGGAGGAACTTTCTAGCACCGGGATAGCCTACCTAGAGAAAGAGGGGAATCTCCATCCCTGGAAGTTTTCAAGGGCAAGTTAGACAATCACTTGGCTGGGATGGTTTAGGCAGAAACAATTCTGCCTTGAGCAGGGGGTTGGACTAGATGACCTTTTGAGGTCCCTTCCAGCCCTACGCTACTATGATCCTAAAGGTAAGATGGTGGGTGTATTAACAACATAGAAGCATTAATGGCTTTTGAGGGACTTGAACAGGGTGGGGTAGAATCATATCTAGGAGCCTACAGCTCCTCGGACACCCAGTAAGTGGAACAGAACTGAGCCCCACCTGCTTGTTAACATGCTGTGCGGACTTGGGGGTGAATATGCCTTTTGGAAGACGTGGATCTGAAGAAGGAACTTGAAGGTGTGAGAACTGTAACGGGACAACTGGACCAACTAGCTGGTATCTACCCCAAGTCTAGAAGCACTTTCAGGCTACTCTGATTACTTAGGAGGAGAACTCAGAGGCATGCCAAGAACAGAGTTCCAGGAATAAGAGTTTTCCTGGAAAGAAGTAAAATATGACCAGGAAATGAAGGGATAAAGTTATTTGGCCATAACCAAGGGAAGTGCGAGGTGATGGTCAGAGAGACAGACAGGACAGTCTAAGCAACAGGGAGTCTTAAAGGAAAATCTGGTTCTTCTCTCTTTTCCACTGATGTGAATCCTTACAGTCTTAATTTGGGTCCCTGATCAATTCCTAGAGCACTCTTGGAAGCTTATGCCAGTTTTTCCTGAAAACTGCTGCAAGATAAACACTCCCCAGTACAGGGAGCCAGGCTGTCACAGGGAAGGGCTCACAACCACCTTGCACAAAGACACTTTGCTACATGTATTAAAATCTCTGAGACCTTCCTCCTTTGGAAAGGGATGAGAGAAGTCATGACAGACTCCATCTGCAAGCAGGGCTCATGTTGGGATAGTTAAATACAACCTTTAGCTAGCAGTCTGTCCACAAATCCCAGTCATCCCCAGGTTATTTTTGTGGAGAGCTGAGCATAGACTTTGCTTACTATAAAAACTTCTTGATGTTTTCAGCTTTCATTTCAGCCATAAATGCCTTCTTCATCCTGTCATGAGAACTAGCGGCCATTACCTTCTCAGTGGGCTTTGCAATCCAACCTGCAAAACACACCAAAGTACAGTAATGAAAAACACTGAGAAAACATTATTTTTACAGTATATGCAGTTTTCACTGCTAACACCTCAAGGTTTTACTGTGCTTTTTATTATTGTTTCTGTACTAGTGGTGTCTCAAGATCAGAGTTTTGGCCTGGTGGAGAAACGCACAGAAATAAAACTCCTAGCCTAAACAGGTAGGAGCAAAAGAACAGGAGGAAAGCAAATATTATATCCACCCTATTCCTTGGTACAGCCTACTTTAATTGTGAGTACTTTCCCATAAATACCAAGTCATCAAGCCACTAACCATATCAATTTCAGTTCATCTCAGGAAAAAGACAACAGCTTTGGAAAGGTGCATGGAAATGAAGGGCATAAAGTACAAGGCCACAGAGCAACTTGCCTCTGTTTGTTACTCCAGGCTCTGGCTTTCTTATACCTGTTTTTGTCTGTTTTTAAATAAAACATCAACTCTACAAGGGAAAGCAAAGAAAAAGTTGCCCTCCCAGGGGCACTTCTGGGCAATAGCATTTCTGGCTTCCACTTCTAGTTAAAAATAAAAACCCAGAGCTGTGACCACAGCAGACATCGCTTATGGTAGCTTTAAAATGCTCACAAGACAAAGTAGGGCAGCACGCAGCAGGAGCACTCTGGCACCCACAAGACATGGCAAGTGCTTTTGCATAGGAGGAAAAAATGATGGAGGTTTTCCAGTACCCTAAACCACAGTGAATGGGGTCAGACCTCCACACGCAGATGGAGGCATTTTTAAACATTTGTGGGGGAGTGGGGTTTCTCCCATCAACGTTCTTTTTAAACCTGGGAACCCCAGTTTGTGCAGGTTCCCTGGCTTGTGCGTGTGGACTTGCAGGACTCGTAGAGAAGCAGACCTGCCAGGGAGCTACGCAAGCCACTGAGTCCGACCCCCAGCCGGAGGCAGGCTCACCCTCTAACCACCACCCTCAACCCAGCCACAACTCCCTAACCTGCCACTGGCGAGCTAGGGGAACGAGGGCAGCCAAA